TAAACATGCGTGTTTGGTCTACAGCTTTGATTGTCACATGTATTAAAATTCATTACTGGAACTTCCAAGGCGAATGGACGCTGACTGTTAATAGTTCGGAACGATGGATTAATTCTCAAGTTCACTTCACAAATGTAGAAAAGCGTTTATACGATATCGCGAAAAATTTTGTCATGGATAAGTTTAATATTAATATTCCTAAAGAACAAGAGAACGGTTTACAACCATCCGGTAATTGTTTTTTTCCTCCGCCCGTTTCTCTATCACGTGTTCCGCCGACCCCTCCTTTTCACGGAATGGTCACCGCTCCAAGTAACATAATCGAGGATTTCAGGTTAAGCCACGGTTTACTGTTTGATCAAAGCGGTTTGCGTCTTGCGCATAAATGTGCGGTTCAAGCGAATTGGTCCATCAAAGAATCACCAAAGACAAGACCCTCCGTACAGCTTATAAATACTCACAGAATACAAGATACCTTTATATATGCAAATAATCTTGCACTTGATAAAGAGGGCACTCTCTTTAATCCCCCGAAAGCATTTTCTCGTTTTAAAGAAAACAATCCTTTGTACGAAAGGACGCTCGATAAGGCGGTCATCTTCCGAATAGACAAAGAACTATGGAATATCAACCTTATACGTGAGGATGTCAAACCGACCGATGAATTCGTTGAAGCAATAAAGAAAGCGATTGAACATAACACACCGCATAGAGCATTGGATGATGTATTCTCTGAATACGGATATTGGTTGAATTGCAAAATTAAAATGGGCAGCAGGTTACAACGCTTTTCTCAATTTTACCCTTTCGAACCTGGACAAGACCATCACCCCAAGGATGTTGAATTACGTCAAACAGAATGGATAGGCGGTGAGGGGTTGGGTAAGTATTTAATTTACTGGAAGTCAACAACTCTCAAGTGCTAATTTTGGAGTTTACTATTTAAAGATTGCGAAAATGGTTTATATGATGAAATTCACGTTGAATGGTCAAAGAGAATACATCCCTTTAAGAGCAGTCACTTAATTTCCGCTGACAGTTCCTTAATAAAAATCGAGTAAGATATCACCGAGATTTTGAATTTGTTTTTTTCTAGCAAAAATTTAATGCATATTTAACATACTATAGGGAAATAGGCGAATGGTTAGAATACAGTCCGAGAACATCTAGCCAATGGAGTGTAATTGAAAGAGCCGACTTTGTTCCAACCTATAAATTGCTAGATGAATCTTTAATTAATAAGATCGAGATGTTATTCAATGATGAAACAGAAGTACTGATGACTGGAGAATTGCCAGTAGATTGTCAGTGTGCTGATCTTTGTCAAGTCGAGTTCTCTAAACCGCTATTGAGTGATGCATATAAAGTTGATGGGGAAGTCTACTGCAATGGGAAAAGATGTGATGTAGCTGTAACACTATACTTTGCCAGCATTTATGGATTTTCTCTCGAAATTGAATGGCATGAATTTCCGTAAGTTTTTTTGTATATATGTCCTTGTTGATGTGCTAGTTATACGCTTGTTCTCTAACAGTATCTATTCGGCACGAGTTTAGTGAGAAATCAGAAGGTATTTATGTGAAATGGAAGTTGTCGGGTAATCGTGCTAAAATTGGTTATTATGACCCGTTGAAGGTTGAAGCTTGTGAAGAAAAAACCCAGGATGGAAAATCATATATAGAATCGGGTCCACCTTATCGTAGTCAATCAAGCGAAAGTCCTGTAACACTACAAGAACAACAGCAGCAACTACCACAACAACTACAAATATATCAACAACAACTACAGATACAGATACAGATACAGCAGCTAGAGCAGCAACGGCGATGGCTACAGCAACAGTTACAACAACAGCTACAACAACAGCTACAACAAGAACAACAAGAACAAAAGACAGCAGACAACACAGACTTGGACAGCTACTCACCCTCAGAATCAGTTAGATCTAACAAGAAGCCACGTAAAATACACGTAATTTCATGCTACAAATGCAAAAAAGACAAGAAACCTTGCAATGGAGACTATCAGACAGGAAAACCTTGTACGAATTGTACAAGACGTGGAGAAGAATGCTCATTCCCAGGACCAGGACGCAAACCCAAAGGATTACAGTCAACAGAAAGTTTTAATGAAAGAGTTGGCAACCTGGAAAGCAAATTAGGAGAAACAGCTAGCACCAAATTTGATCAAATGTTAATAAAACGATTTGAAGAAGATTTATTCTTCTTGTTTGTAGATCCAAAGACTTCGGATGAACAGGTTGAACTGCTAAGATCGCTGTGGCATGAATTCACAAATAGTCATAAGACATTGCAGTCGGTAGAAACAACTTATTTGCAAATATCCGAAAAACTGAGACAATTAATACTGACTACGGAAGAAGATGGGAGACAAGAAATATGGGAGTCTATTAAAAGTATGATAGTAGCATATAAAAAAAATACTAAGACTATCGGTGATGATACAAATGAAGCTACGGCAATTAATGCTATTACAAGACCGAGTGAACAAAAAATGACCCCAAACCGTTTTGACTATAAAACTAAAACTCGAAAGCCGAAAAGAGCAAAAGCAATGGAATTGACAAAGGGCTTCGAACATGGTAGTCAACGCTTCCCTCAACCAGCACACAATGTCACACCCCTCGAACCAATGTTCAATACATCAATTTACGAACCCCAAGTGCCCCCAGACATGGACGACGATCTCCATGCAACCACCGAAGCGCCTAGCATACTGTCAGAGTCTCCCCTATTTATGCCGGATGATTTGTTCTCACTTTTCTTGGATTCCCCGCAACACGGACGAAATCAAGAATAATTTGAAACCATAAACTTAGAGTTTGATTTCTTGGCGAACATCTAGCCAGTTTATCGACATTAAAGTTTTTTTTTATTCTTCCATTGTCTCTTTATCTAACCTAATTGAATCGACAAGAGGAAGGAATGGTAAAGGGATAAGGGGGAGGTAAGAAAGGGATATTAGCACTGGCTAGCGAACTTGGCTTTCGCTATCGTTATTTATTGTGTATTTGTTTGTTTGTTGGTTTTTTTTAGCCGATACCATGGCAACATTGTATTTGACATTCATAAGGCAGTTAACATTGTTATTATCATTGACACTATTATGATTCTATAATTTCTATTATTATCAACATTATTGTAGATTTCAATTGTTATTATATTCTCTCAATATTCTTTACTATTTTATTATGTGTTATTGTTGTTGGTTTTTACATTCACCCATTACTTGCTTCTTATTTATATCATCCGCTTAATCTTTTCTTTAGAACAATATACAGTCAAACCGATACCCGTTATAACCTCCTTATAACGATGGCACCCAAAATTTAGACCTTTGTACCGAGAATTGTGTAACATTTACTAAATTGGGAATGATGTCAAGCATTCTGATTGGTTGATCTTTCAGTATTTACGATCTTCCTGCAAAATGTCACAGCTTAATATTAACGCAAAGCAGGAAATAGTAAGCCTTTAACGAAGGGACAACTCACTCTATTTTAAAGAAAAAGCAAACGTCTGTTGATAATTTTATTCGCAACTGTTAGTCTATATAAGTAAACAATAAAGCTTGACACCTTCGTCTAACACCCCTGACAATCGATATTTCGCGTATCACTCATATATTATTGGTAGAAAAGAAAAAAAACCGATCTACCGATACCCCGCTTCGATAAATTTTTGGCGGAACGAAAATATCGGTATAACGAGGTTTGACTGTATATCACACGTTTCTTCGAGACTTGTACATTTTAATGATATGAATTATCAGTTACTGTGTGATAAGATAAGGTCTAAGGTTTACGTTCCCGTAATAGTCGGTCGTAGTACACAATTCCCCGGTACGCCAATTTGAGATAATTGACAACTTGGGGTTCGACCCATTTTGCATGCTACGTATGACAAATATGACAAATAGCTGTAAATATACGTTAGAAACATAGTAATAGGTGGTTTATTCCAAATTGACGAATATTTATCGGTAAACTTGCTAATTCAAGTTTATTGCATTGATGGTGACTCGTTACTAATGTAATTGAGGTCTTTCGTAATTGACCGCGAGCTTTAGTTCTTAGATCATTTACTATATTTAACCGATTTCTCATCGCATCCAAATTCAGCGAATCTGTTCACTTTTCTCAATCAAGCATGACCAACTTTTGAAGTCAACTAATTGCAACCGAGTAGGGCTTTTTGGCAAATTCTGAGAAACGGTCTAAATCCTGAACACGGTCAGTTTCCTTATTTAGTCTCTATTTTGTACATACAGCTACGACTGTAAACCTCAACGCGAGATTAGTATGTGTAAATAAAACGAATTTTGTCTGTAGTGAAGTTGTTTCGATATGCCGAATAAGATTTCTTGGCTAATTAAGAATGCCGCTAACAACGAAGTTTTCTGTTAATGAGTTCACTATATCGATATAATAATAAAGTTTGTTATAATTTCGGTAATCCTTCCCGTGACAAAATTTGTTGAGAACAGACGCCGTGCACTTTGGAAAAAAAATCTGTCAAATAAAAGAAGACAATCCTTCGAACACTGATTTCCGGACTAGTGTTAATAAATTCATCACTGGTACATTTAAAAGAAAATGTCAAGTAGTTTTCTAGTGTGAAGAGTCTTTGGGTAGAAAATGCAGTAAGTGAATTCAGATTTTGAAAGGTTAAAAAATTTGCAACAAATCGGTCGTTAGAATAATCAAAAAGAGAAAGTCTAAAGTTTTACAAGAGGCAAATGGAGATATTTCATGTGATGTGAATCTTACTTTATTGACTTATTCCAACTCTTGTACAAAGTGTAAATTTGAGGAATAAAATTTCTATAATATTATTTTAAAGTTGTAAATTGGAGTAGCAACATTTTCGTTGCAATTAATTCGTTTTGATAAATATGTGTGATACTGAATGGAAAAGTATCTTGTAACGTAGTTCATATTAACAATTGAATATTAAAAGATAAGCGCATGTATTGAACAATGTCTTAGAATTTAAATCTAAAAGGTTGGTGGGGGGGTTTAAAATCATGAATATTACTTATTGTGAAATAAAAAAGGGAGAGAAAGGAGTTTTTAGCAGTTCATAGATTGTCGTTTTAGTATAGATGGTGGAAACTAAATTTGGTTTCATAAATTTATGATGTTATTTAGCAGAAAGAAAGAGCAATTATGTATTCGGAGCCTTCAAAGCAAGAAAAATAAAAATTCCCTTCAATTAACTTAACACTGTAATTTGACTAAAATAAGTGGGTTAATAAAAAACATTTACTTAAGGCTCTCCTCGATTGAGCTGTTGGCTCTTTATTATGAAATTGTTCTTTGGTTGAGGTGGTTGCGGATTCTCCATCGTTAACGCTATTTTCAGTCAGTTACTCCTTTTTTCTTTTGACGGTTATGCGTGCAATTTCGTTGACGTCTTGAGTTAATTTTTTGGCGTCATCCGTTGGTTCTTTTAATATCAACATTAACGATGGGTTGTTGAATTTGCATGGATTGATACACGCCGCCGCTATTCTGGTTTTTTTTTGCTGTGAAACGTGCTTTTTTGTTCTTGCCTTGATTGGTCCATTTAATTAGTCTAGTATTCTCGCCATTTCATGTGAGAGAGCGCTTGACCATTTCGCACAGTTAAAGCCGTATTTAGTAAAAAAAGCTCGGGGCATTTACTGTGCAACATCAAAAGACGACATACTAATACGGTAATCACAAGGCTAACCATTACATAACTTCCATCTCTGACTGTTTGAATCGAAATGTTATACAATTCTGTAGTCCTCGCAGGTGTGTAATGTAAGCAACAACTTGTGACTTTTTTTTTGACAGTATTTAACTCTCGAACTCCTTTTACAGTTGCGCTCTTTCTTTTTTATTTACTCTTTACAAAGACTAGCAGTAATGTCAGCGCTGGCAAAAAGAAAAACAAAAACAAGAAGAAAAAGAAAAAGAAAGCAGCAAAGCAAAATAGAACTGAAGAAGCAAAACTTACTCAACGTGTTGAAGAGCACAAGGATATGAAAACGCCTCCTCCCGACAAAAACGAAGCTATAAAATCTAAAGATCCTGCGCCCGAACCAGCAGCACACAGTGAGCAAGGCTTTGATCAAGGTATTTTGTTTACGGTTGGCCAAGTATATTATCGGCTTATTAACCTCGAATGGTTTACTATAGGCTCACTTGAAGAAAACTCAGAGAGAGGATCACGTAGAGTTCTTAGAATAGTGTCTAGTAAGACAGAAGATAAGAATTCTAATACTAATAGAGGTAAATTATGAGAATGATTGCACAGTCACCATAACAAGTCATCATATAGTCTTATTAAGTCCTGCTTTTGTCATATTAGTTACGAAAGTTTCTAGCCCAACATCAAATCAACTGTTAACTAAAACACAAAAGAATAATCTTGCGAAGAAAGCAAAGAAACGAGAGGAGAAAAAATTGAGGGATGAAATTCAAGCAGAACGACTACGACAACATAGGCGATCTTTGGGTACAGAAAGAGTTAACGAATTATATAAAAATGACAAACCAAAGTCGTCCGTGAACCCGCGAAATGCCAACACAATTATACCTACTGTTTCGTTAAATGAAGCCGGCGCGTTAGTGTGGAATTAGACACTGTCAATCCGGTGTATGGATTCTTAGTTAATAAGAACAGCTAGTTTTCCATTAAGAACAGAGCACTTTAGACGAGCAAGCAAACAGCTACGGTACCTACTTCTGAACGGGTAAGTTAGCTTGCGAAGACTCGTATCAACTGTGGCTGAACAATAGCTTCATACCCTTTTCATCTCACTATAACTGTGAAGGCCTTCGCGGCGTCTTCATTTAATGTGATATTTTCTATATTGTATATTTGTATTACTGATAAACTGATCTATCAATACTATGCAACAAATATTACATTGTCGCAAAACATTCTGGTGCTAGAACGACAAAAGCAATTCTTGATAATAAAATGCGACATTCTCATATGGTAGAAGTTGAATCAGGAATGATGTGTTGATATGTGTAAACTTAAATCCTAACACTGTTTATGCTGTGGTGTGCATTATTTATGGATGACCGTCCGTGTGCAAAGAGAAATAATGTTCTCTAAATTCGAATTCTAGGAGTTTCTAGTTATGTCGTATTTATCTGATTCACTACCTGTTTGCAATAAATACACGACATATTAAAGATCAAGTAATAAGTCATTCGTGACTTAGTTTTAAAAAGGAATAGATTATAGTTAGGTACATTTTAATTGGGATTGCTTGTATTACGTTCACTTCAAAGTTGCCCTGTGCACACTTCAGACTCCTAATAGATAAAGATGCATTATATAAAACCACAACATAGAGCCAACTTGGATCTCTACAAATACAGTGGAGTGGACAAGTCTCTTCTGTCACGATATGTTCTTACTCCTTATTGGAACGGCCTTGTACAACTATTTCCATTATGGATCGCGTATGTCTGCGCCGTCCATTCCATTCTCACACCGTCTTACTTTTTCTTAACCTTTACTGACTAGTTGTTTGTTTGGTTTTATTTAGGCCAAATGTCATTACTCTGCTAGGATTGTTTTGTATTGCCGTTAATTTGGCAACCTTACTTTATTTCACACCGGATCTATCTGAACCGTGTCCTTCGTGGGTCTACTATACGTAAGCATTATTATAATATTATATATCTCTACAGTCAGTTGAGTATAATGTAATGGTATTTCGACGTTGTAGGTTTGCATTAGGATTATGGATATACGCTTCATTCGATGCAATAGATGGTAAACAAGCCCGAAGAACGGGAACTTCTGGCCCACTAGGAGAACTATTCGATCATTGTATGTGCAAATGAATGCATTCTAATTACATTCTGACGACTCAACTAATGTCTGATCTGCTTAGGTTGTGATGCGCTTAATACGACTGTAAGTTTGGTCATTACTATATAGCAGGTTGCGAGACTTTGGTTTACTGATTATACTTCAAATAGCTTGGAGTCTTTATGGTTGGATCGGCACTGGGATTACCTCAATCATGGTTACTAGCCTTGAGTCATCTTTTTGGTATATAGCCAGCTGTTCTGCTTGACGCGTTTTCCTTACGTTGTCACAATGCTGACTATTATTTGTTACAGCGCTTGTAAATTTTTATCTTACTACCTGGGAAGAATATCACACGGGAACATTATATCTAAGTTATTTTAGTGGCCCTGTTGAGGGTCTAATAATTCTGTGCATAGTGTATATAACAACTGGTTTCAAAGGTATTATATTAATGATAACTCTTATCGACAGGCGCATCAACGAGTAATAACGAATAACCTTATACGTGTAGGGGTTGGATTCTGGAATCGAAGTTTGCATGGCTTTTTAAAAATTTCCGATTCGTTTGAACGAACATTTCCCCAGCTTTCTTTACAAGACGCGTTCATGTATTTTGGTGCTGTTGTTTTAGTTATGAATATCATTGTCAGGTATATTTTTATTTTATGAATCTTCTGGTCGTGATTATAGCAATAGGTGTCTGAGTTTTGATCTATTTTACAGTTCGTGGAACGTTGTTCGTGCTTGCAAGTCGCAGAAGAAACCATTGATCCCAGCGTTATTGGGGCTATTCCCATTTGCGTTTATGTCCGCCCTTGAATTTGTATGGCTGGCAGCCTCACCGCAAATACTCACTCGACATCTGATTGTGTTCCTTCTTTATATCGGAATATCATTTGGGTATCAAGTTGGCTTGATTATCACTGCTCATGTAACTAAAGCACCTTTCCCCTACTGGAACGTGTCATTTTACCCTCTTCTATTTGGAGTTGCAAATGCATTACTTCGTAAAGTTGGAATGTAAGTAGATATTTTATGTTGCATATTAGATCTCCTTGATCAAAGTTCCTAATCTTAACCTGTCGCTTATTTGCTTTTTAGCTCTATCATAGATAATTATTATGAGATTATTTATGTACATCTATGTTTGGCGTTCTCAGCATTATTGTATGGGCATTTCGTTGTTAACGTAATTAGGGATATTTGTGATTACTTTGACATTAATTGCTTTACCATCAAGCGAAAGATGAATGTATCAACCAAGGTAGGAGATGGGACCGTACCTGTATCTGCTACCCCTGACATACCAAATGAGTCTAACAAAAAAAGAGATTAGAGTATGTTTATCTTTTATCTGGTATAGTTTAAGTTAATACGTTAGGGTTCTTTGGTTATTTCTCGGAGAGAATTTCTGGTAGACTTTGGCGACACACATTCTATAGTGTCCATAGTCATGTTACCCAGAAACAGAGATTATCTCGAACGAGATATTCGAGATTATTTTTTATGAAACGTGAAATCGCATAATATTCAAGAAGATCGAATAAATCGCATTAAGCAAGCTAGGTATGCCACAGGATGCTTCTCTTTAAGGAGCTTTGTAGTTAAGCCAGTTGTGATGGAATATACATGCCATGTCTTTTGTACCGCGTAAAGTTGCTGCATGAAATTAAATTGCTCTTGGACCTTGACTCTACTGATTTTGATGTCTGTTCATACTTTGAAATTAACCGCATTTGAATTCCAATATTTGTCAATACTTCTGTCAAGGCTCCAAATCTTCGGAAACAGAAGCAAGGTTGTAGACAAAGTGTGTGTATAAACGCATATATTTGTTGACAATGTCAGGTAAAAATACATTAATTCTGCATGATGAATAAGTTGTTAAATAAGAAAGACTAAATAAATATCATGTACAAGTAATATGCTGGACAAGATGATAACGAAATGAATAAAAGCATGAATTAATACGGCTATTGCAATTTCATTCGTAACCGATCTTTCGCGTCCAGCTAGATAGCATTCTACAATCACATAGTAAAGTTGATATGGTCCTATCGATTGAGTGGCTCTTACACTACATGGAACACATGCAAGAGCAGTCGCTCACCGGGCATTGCTTATGGCTCTCGAACCATTGTAGCATATGAATAGCATGCCCTCCGTGACGACATGTCTGACACCAAGTAAACCAAAGATCAAACCCGAATGGTCTGTCAACGGAAGCAGGGACAAGACCGGCAGATTCCATTGCATCCCGCACGGAGTCTATCGGAGTACCAAGGTTCAATAGACATATGGCACATCGAGGAAGGGGTTTACGGCACGATCTGCAGCAATTAATCTGTGGTAAGGCAATTATATTAGCCAATGCATAATGCACATGTTTCATTATGTAATTGGAATTGGACGCCTATGTCTTCACCTTCTGTCTGGCTAGAGAAATACCGTTGCTGGCTGTAGTTAACAATCTGCCATCTCGATCTTCATTTCGCGTCTCTTGGGCAATGCTTTGAGAACAATAGTTGCATGTAACAAAAACTTGATCTGGTGCTAATTTCGAACTGACCAGCTCACTTCGCGCCATGGTTTTCCCACGTGCAATATCAAAGTTTGCTCTAACATGGAACATTTCCCATTTGTCTAATAATGTGCGATAGCTGGATCATCAATATGATTTGATGAGTTAGAATGAAGAATACACGTCCAAACGACAGTAAGCGTGATAATGTATCTGACCTTTCAATCCATTCTTTTACTCGATTATCATTCAATCGATTGAGCCCACAGAAACTCAGAGCTAAACTGGCTGTCTGTATATCGCCAGTCTTATTTATGTAATTAGCAAAAAGATCAACGCCATCTCGTGTTAACCCTGTTAGTACTACTCCGCTTATGTTTCCCGACTCGACAAATTTATCGGTCGTATCTTGTAAATAGGCCGTAAGCTAAAGTCAATGGGGAGACCATTAGTCATGATAACATTATACATAACTATCAGTATGTAATTACATCAGTTCAACTATCCGATAAAAAAAATTACCTCATCATCACTCAAAAATTTTAATGCAATTCCAAGACGATCTCTCAATGGTAATTCGTCCTCTTGAAGGACAGATTTCCAGCTACTGGTGGTTATGTAAGAAAACATCGCACGTACATATGGCTCTTGAAGTTCCCGACTCATGCTATGACACATTTCGAGCCAGTGAGAATGCATTTCAGATTGCAAATCTTGATTGTATGACAAAACTCCTGCTATGACTGTCGATACTAGTTTCAATTGCTGGTCTAATTTAATGCAAAGATGCAACGTTAACGTCTATTACCATTCGAGTATCACACGATTTATTAACTTACCGCCACTATTACTGAGTGCTGAGATAGCTCTGTTTTTGTCACCATGAAACAATGCCCAGGCAGCGGCCTTTTCATATTTTCCAGCATGCTCCATTCTTTGGAGTGTATCGTCAAGCATCCTCTTGTTGAATCCCCATCCACATTTCTTGAGACAGAAGCGTCTTTGTAGTGGTTTGAGCGATTTTATGATTATCAAATCATTGGGATCATCGTAAGAGTTTCTCTGATTTGGGTGCGATAATAGGTTTCTACTAAAATTTTCCCATGAATCTGTGTGCAGAATAAATTGAGTAATGTGAACAAAAGAGTGAAATCTGCATTAAACATAATACCTTTCCACACTGTGTTTACTCCTTGGAAACTAAAATCTCGACTATTTATCGTGGATCCGCTACTATCGAAAAAAGATTCCGCCTCTGTTAAAATAGGGTCAAATGGCCGAGATGTCAGTAATAATGTCAACAATGCTTTAATAAAATGCAAAAAGTAAACTGTGTAGGAATACCGCTTATCCAAGTCCACAAATCCACCAGCTCCGGGAAATTTGCCAACAGAGCAATATTGTCGTGACACTAAGACAACACAACAATAAGACAAATTGTTAAAATAATTAGTTATATTGGTCATAAAAATTAGTTTTCTGAGGTTTTTCTTCACTTACGGTCATAGAATACCCTTTCTGCGCTCGCTCTCTCATAACAACGGAAATATCTTCTTTAAGTAGTTGCATAGATAAGGCTGGTTCAGAGGAATCCATCTCATATTGCTGACCAAAGCTTTCCTCAATCACAAGCTTTGATGCTACGCCACTTAATCTATTCTGCAAGTGATCCATATCTCTAGTGGTTGTCTCCCCAGGCCGAGGAGTCCTTCCTCCGCTTGCATTCTCAACAGTGTTCGGACCATATCTAAGTATTTCGGACTTTGAGGTCATTGCTGGGGATTGTCGCCTTTTATCTATCGCTGTCTCCTCACTGCTAGACTCTTCTTCATTTTTCTTGCTCACATCAAATGTTCTAAGGTGTCCGCCAATATACGCTACATAATTTCCGCGAGCACCAAATGCGATTGGAGGAGCTTCTTCTTGCCTTAGTGTTGCAATAACACCATCATTACTGACTGTCAAAAATCTATGGCTAAATGAAGTCGATAGTGTGGGAATCCAAGTAAATGAAGCCAACGGTTTCTGTGCATGTGAAGCTGTAAGGCATAAACGATGATAAATAGCGTATAGTTGGTCAATAATTAATATTATAACAAAAGGATTTAAGTACGCAACGGACAGTGCGGAATGAAAACAAAATATAATCGTAACATGCATGTCAATTTTCTTTGATAATTAATGTACATACTTACTCTTACGTGTCTTCCCGAGTGTCAAACATTCTTGTTCATCAATGGAGTTTGCGACTGCTCCTGTAGAGCCAATTGCACTGGAAGAAAATCCCGATTGTAGTTGTCTTGGTATTTCGGTAAAGTCATCTGCACCCGCCGGATGAGATACTCGAGTTAAATCAGATGCGTTTGACGAAACTTGCTGCCGCATATTCGTTTGGATATCCCATATTATTATATTTGATGCATCACGCTCTAAACAAGCAATGAGATTAGCTCGTTTGGGAGAGAAGGCCAGTCGAAGCGGACGCGTGTCTGTCGAAAGTGCTAAGGCGTATGTTAAAAATAGTTAAGGGTACAACGTATATAAGTTATGTTTAACTAAAATTATTTGTATTGAAATTTTATATCAATATGTTGTTAATGAAAGGATATTGGTTCCGTTAGTTTCCGAGTGTCCCAGAGATACACAATGTTCTCCTCAAATGATGTGAAGCGATATTCGTTGAACGGATCCACTCTAACTCCATTCACTGCCTTTGTTTGTAAAGATAACGGAGTCGTATGTTGATCAGCCACTAAAAAAAGAAAAAGTCAGCCTTGGTTTGATATTATGTTGATTCCAAATTCTGTGAAGCTTACATCGTGGGTCATAAATTCTCAGATATTTTGATCCCAGTCCAGCTACTATTTCACATTTCGTCAGAAACCATTCACATGAAACCAGCGCATCGCCAGATGCATATGACACCAACGGAGTTGTGGTTGCGTCGGCGTTGTAAGAGTTACTTGAGAGCTCTTTGATCCACATAAAATGTATTAGTCAAAACTTTTGAATTCACAAAATTTCGGAATAGTTATTCATACCTGTTTCATAGGCTCCACTATCCCCAGGAAAATTCACGTGCCGTAGAGTAGATGTACCATAAACATTACTCGAATTCCTTTCGTTCAATCCGTTCGTGCTCGCTCCTTTATTCAATGGCTCATCTAAGGCTCTGGTTGAACTATTAACGCGTCTTTGATTATTAATGCGTGGTTCTTTAGATGTCTGACGAGTAATATCCCATATGAACAAACAATGATCGTGCCGTTGTTTTTCGAGCCCAGTGACAAGAAGATTAGGCTCTTTTTGTGAAAAAGCTACCACAGCACACGGCCGCTGAAATTTGACACTGAGAGTTGGATATTCTTGGTGTATTGGCGAAACTGCAGGATGGAGGAGAGCGTCATTACTAAGAGTGAGGAGAACAGTTCGTCCAGTGGATAAACCTACAGCCAATAGATTGCGATTTGATGCATCGGGCGACCAAGCAAAACACTTTTAAATGAATTATGATTAACATAATATGCTTTTCGATAAAGTGTTTGATAAGAGAATGCGAGGGATGTACCTTTAATAAAGGAAAGTCTGAGTTTACTGCTATAATTTTATACAGCGGTGATTCTCCACTACAACTCTTTAACAATGAGAAGAATTAATATCATGGTAGATAATAATCATACAAATATGTAGATGTTTAATGAACATACTTCAGGGACATATTCATACATTCGTAGATCGGGCGATCCTACTATGAATCTATTTGACCCTTCATGCGGTGACCAAATAACTCGAAAAGTTTTATTTGTCGTCATCGTATGCGGGTTAAGGAATGGGGAGCCGAAGATATTAACATTACAGATGTGCTGATCATGACAAAAATGGTCATGTGAACTTATCAACAATGCTTGCGCGGATGAGAACAACGTGCGTGATTGTGTGAGACACTTGTGTTACGACTGCCCAGACACTCCTAATACTAATGTTTTAACGTCAATGCATGCAACGTTACTTTAAGCTTCTGATGATCCTTCCCAAATGCACATTTGCGGATTAACTAGCTTAGATCTATCACACGTTCATGCGCTAAGCTTGGTGTTTGCATTCGCTTTACCGGCAGCCCCAGTTTTACTGATCCCATTCTTCCAATCGAAATGATTAGATCTCTTCTCGAATTGCTCCAACGGCTTTTAGTGTACAGTATTTTCATTCAGTTTCGCTGTTGTTTCGCGTTAATTTATATCCACAGACACAATTCAAGCAATTTATTTTCCACGGTCGAAACTATTTTCCGAAGCGTGTAAGGGATGGGCGTACATTCCCATGGCGTAAATAGCAAAACAAGGGGTGATATATTAATATTGTAGCTTTGTTGCGCAATTGATTTCATCTGGTTTCTCACTTTTGCGATGGCAAGTATTCATGCTCTATGGTCGAATATAATGTGCTATTTGATGATTTATCAAACTCACTTCACGTCGGTTTCATATTCCGCCTCTAGACCGTAATTGGTGTAGTCGATATCGGAAGCAATGGAATTAGATTTTCTATTGTAGCGTCCCTCGCGAGATGTCTACCGGTTATATTTGAAGAAAGAGCGGGCATTTCATTGTTTGAGGCGCAACATCAATCAAAATCTGCTAATTCCAATCCTATTCCTGATTCAGTCATTCGAGACACCGTGAATAGTTTGAAGAGATTCAAATACGTATGTAAGCATTACAAAGTAGACATTGTCAGAGTCATTGCTACGGAAGCTATGCGAATGGCATCAAATTCCGCTGAACTTGGACAGCGAGTGAAAGAGGCTACTGGATGGGAGATTGAGATACTTCATCAACAAGAAGAAGCAAAAATATCAGCCATGGGTGTCATCTCTTCCTTTTTTGGGGTAAAAGGATTAGTAATGGACATGGGTGGAGGTAGTGTTGAATTTAACTACGTTTACCATGATCTACAGAATCAGTCGCTGACCATGAGTGATGATCCGCAATGCCTCCCATACGGATCGGCTGCATTGACCAAGCTATTAGGGTCATGTACCAATCGTGAAGGTAGATCCAGGTTATATAAAGCACTAGTTGGTGAACTAAAAGTTGCGTTCAACAATCTCGGTATTCCAGAGAATATCACTAGAGCAGAAAACAAAAATGGTGGATTTGTTGCTTATGTCTCCGGAGGTGGGTTCAGAGCGCTTGGGTATGTGAGCATGTCAGCTCGTGCGCCGTCTTCAGTATCAGAACGACGAATGTATCCTATTCCTATCATTAACGGATACGGTACGAAGATGAGCAATTTGCTTGACGACGTTAATGAATATCTTCCTTCGTTCGACTCGGGTTCCTCACCAAAGTCTACCGAGCGAAACGATAACGATAGCAACCCATATCGCATCAGTAAAAGACGCGCAAAACTTCTTCCAGCATGTAGCTTTCTGATGAATGCTCTATCCGAGGCCATCTCTATTAAATATATATACTTCTGTGAAGGCGGAGTAAAACAGGGAATATGCTTTTCAATGATGAATGACGAAGAACGACAAAAGGATCCGTTTTTTACGTTTATAAAGTCGAACTCACTCTCCGATAATTTTACTCAGAATCAACAACGAATAGTTTTATCGACATTAAAATCATCTATTCCGTCAACATTGTACGAGATTCTCGATCTGAGCAATGGGTTGTCACTAGGAGAACATCGATTAGAAAGGTTGTTACCCAGCATAGTTTATCTGTCTAAACGGCATGATCATTTAGCTAAGGAAGCAAGACCATTTGCTGCATTCAATTTAGCATTGGCAGGCGGGGCCTTATCTAATGCACCAGGAATAACACACAGCGATCGTGCCATTATAGCATGGTGTCTAATGCATAGATATCATGATGATGTTGGCGGAGGAAGCGGTGGCATTGAGGAGAGGGTGAAAGAGATGGATCCGGTGCTATTTGATAGCATACGGCGAATGGTGCCCGGGAAAAAGAGAGGACGTAAGATATGTGAACTCATTGGTAGATTGACTGGTCTCTATTTGAAAATACTACCTGGGGATCCACTGGATAGCCGAGAGGGCGCAAGCACGAACGCCTTGAATAGCATCCCAGGGCTCAAAGTACGCTTTACTGAAAGTTCAGGGGATGGGAGCGATAGATTGCGAGCAACCAAGATTATTTCTAGAATCTTTGAGCCAAAGAATAATCAATCTATGAATGTTAGGATTGAATTAGTCATCGAGTCTGATGCTAACGATTCTAATTTCCTATTCGATAATGTTATAGTAAAGGAGGCGTTGAGAAAGTTGGAGAAGGACTATACACTCAAGGATAAAAAGAATGTCAAAAAGCAAAAAAAAGGAAAAAATAATCACGGTAAAATAAGGATCGAGGTGGTCGTTAAAGAATCCGAAGTAAATTAATGTATATTTTTAGTAGTTCCAAATTATTAAACCTGATGCCAAACGCATTGACTAAACATTGAATGACTTGATATTCATCTTTCTAACTCTCGTCCGTGACCGAAATTGCCTTACGATTATTTTGATAACCGCGTTATGCAATGCAAAACGAGAAACGGCTGTTCCTTGTAATACAAATCGGTGAAGCGAAAATGCAGGTGCTACTGTTTATTAATTGCACACTTTATGTTGAACGCTACTGAGTATCTCTTAAAAGAAGAACTCTAGTATAATTAATATGAGAAAATTACATTCATAATTTATACCAATTACTAGGACGACAGAGAAAGTGTGACTGTTCTAAGATTCCCCATATACGGTCTCAGTCAATACTTACCGTGAAACTTTTGTATTCGCAGACATATCACTGAATACTATCATCCTTTCAATCATTTATTTTGAAGATGAAGAGAATTAATAGTTTCGACTTCTCCAAAAACCGGATGCTACTTCAGGAAAATTAAAATCACTACTTAAGAAAAATACCAACGATAATGTCATTATTGCCAATAATGACTACAAAATTGTAGGTTTGAGAAAGAGTTTGCCAAAAACGCGTTTATTTTTAATAACATGGACACACTTATTAGGCCGTGACGTACAGAATATTCAAATATAGTACGAGGTATTGCAAGGGAGTATCAGGTGACAGCATATCCAAAAAAAAACTTTTTGATAAAACCAAAGACTCAGCAAAATTTCATGATATCTTAACCGTGTGTACGCGTAATATGAAATTGTCTCAACTGTGTAAAACTACTCTTGAGTTGACATTCAATGGAATGGGTTAATCTACAACTTCTGTCAAAAGTATACAAGATTGATATTAAATGATCATAGCTTGTGGCGAGGGTATATACGATATTTCATGTTTTACTAGTAAAACTTGTACTTTTGGCAGAGGCATGTACTTTTGCACACAATAAATTTTGTCTCAACGTGTCTTTAATAGTTAATTTGTCCATATTCGAATATCGGCGGCGACAAAATAGTTTTAGCTTTGTTGTAAATCTAAAACGACTTTGAACAAAGGTTCATATACCTTAATGTCGTTATTTGACTGATCGATAAAACATATTATTAAACAGTCTTATCTAATAGATTATAATCATCCATCACATGTTACAAAATAGAGAAGGTCTCACTCACAATATTATAATAACCTTATATAGAGGAATTTCATAGTGAAAAATCTTTTTTTATAAGCCATTTTTATTATATCTATTATTCTTAATATGTACAACATACAATTGACAGACAAATGCTTTCGATTAGGTAGGTAGAAAACGAATATACTATGCGTATACATCTAAATCTATGTGCAAAACCACAAGTTCTTTGAATGCTTACATGAGATGTGATGCCAAAATTTCATAAGGAATTCCGTTATCACGGGCCCGTAGTCAGCAACAACTTTCGGTTGCGATTAAACTGATATGAAGCATAAAGAAAAATACGATATCGATATGCAGTAAAACATTTCATACGTGATAGATCAGTGGGCCCATAGTGATTACGTGATGAATTCGATGCAATATCTGAATGTGTAACCTACATCTAACCCCCGCCCCGATTCGTATCTCACTTGTCAGAAGGCAAAATGACCGTCTTTGAAATCATTGTTCTAGCTACAATTATTATTTATCTTATTTATTATATATGTGGATTTAAATTTAGTACTAGTCGAGTTAGTATAAATTTTATCAATTGCCGGGTTGAAGAGCCGACAGCGGCTATATTAAATACATCAATGACGCTCAAGGAAATTCGGAAGAAACTTTTTGCGTATGAAAATGATCAATGCATCATGAAAGATTATATGTTCTTTTGCGACAAGAATTGCGCAAGAATAAGGAAAAGTGATGAAGGAAAATTTTATCTCTACGAGATACTCAAAGAGAATGTTATTTGCATTACACGATGTAAGACACTCGAAGAAGTAATGCCTCATTTAATTGAGAAGAGAAAGTTAAATTGCGGTATTCGATTGACCGAAGATGGGCCAACGCAATCAGACAATGTAGCCTTCAAGTTTGAAAGCTATAATAATAATGTTGTAGAAGATAGTTCCGAGTATAATCAACGTACGTTTGAACAAAGTAACAATTATAGACGTTCTGAACTCTGTAAAAATGGCATCGAGTGGAAACTTGATTTGAATATGTTATGGTAAGAGATCCCTTCCTGAAATATAACTTAATGTATAAATAATAACGATTGATACTGCTAGGCCATTTATCAGCTCGATCGGCGTACACTTTACGAATGAGAGATCGAATGAATCGAGTGAAAATCATAGAAAATGTCGGAATGTCCAGAGGTATTGCCGAGCAAAGCTATTCATGAAAGGAGAACACATAGAACCTTCTGATAACTTTAAAAATGAGGTAGAGGATGCTGTGAGTTTGAGTCTAGAAGAGAGGCGTATCAAGTTGAAAGAAATCTGCGAGAAATATGGGTACTTTTGGGCGAGAAGAGTACAATTGGGGGGGATGGTTATCCAAACTGAAGAAGAGAGTGAAAGCACCAACATACAATCAGTTCGGAGAAGAAGAGGCATTGATATTGATATGGGAACAGGACCACTGGAAACAGGGAGTGGAATATCTCAGAATAATGGAAGATTAAATCAAATTTCATCCAGCAATACAAACAGGAATATTACAGTTATTGGTGGAGATGTGGCAGTGTACATACATCCGGGTGATACACGTAGGTAGAAAAGGCTTATAAACCCATCTTTTTTAGTTGTGACTAAAATTGCTTTGTTCTCGCCCCCGCAATAGGCAAGTGGCAAGAAACACTCCAAGATCGCTCTACCTGGGAGATAATCCATTATGAAGACATAGTTCCAATATATGAAATTTTTGAAGAAAGAATACAAATTGCTATTCGTAAAGCATTTAGTGTTGTTTGTTTCAGTGGTATTGACATATTGGATCTTCAAGAAAAGAATTTTTTAATACGTCCAATAAGATTCCCCCCTAATGTGTGGGAAGGAATTAGACAGCATCAAATTTTTATAGAAGTTATGTATGAAGGCAAGCATGATACAATATTTGCTGCAAATATTGAACAAACAGATGGGTTACCAAATGTGCATGTTTCCAAAATTCAGAAAGCTGGCAATAGTATTCTCGGGAAAAAAAGTCACAAGTTAAAATTAGCCTACATTATCACAGGATATCCACAATCATCTGACTTTCAAATAGTAGATGAATCATCTGTGAAGGTTGATGTTGTTCAAGGAAAAAAGAAAGATGACAAGTTTGTTGCATCATTGCCAAATATCCAAGATTTCAATCAAGGAGCCGTCTTAATTACTTGTTATATTACACAGCTGATGCAGCAAACTGGATCTAGAAGTCAAAGAGATTCTGATGATAGTATTGTTTTTACAATGCACCTTCACAAGCCTGATGATACTAAACCTACTGAAGTATGCATTTTTGGTAAGAATCTAATTTATTGTTTGCTATCTGTGGTCTAATTAACATTAAGTCAGATTATTATTGTAATGGCATATGTAAGTGTAACAAGTCAGTAATAATAATAATGTCATCTATTTATTATAACAGCCTACAGCTGCACTGCTAATGGTGCTTACAAAAAAATTTTACAACAAGAAAGTATAAAAATTGCTTACTGGTATGCATTATTCTACACTGTTTTTGGCCTTGGTTTTTCTATTAATATTAATTACTTACAAGTTAAAATTATTAGTATTATTACAGATAACCAGCAAAATGGTATTTCAAATAAAATTAGTTTCCTACGTAAAAAACCTAGACAGTTTAAAAGATATACCACAGAATCAGATGCTTACAAAGCCCTGTTTTCAAGTCAAAGATGTAATAGCCAATCTTCTGTATTTACAAATATAGTGCTTCCTTCAGAACATTGTGTTCCTGTGTTTAGGTTAACTACCAAAGAGCATATAGCATATTGTTCCGGACAAGATTACAGTAATATTTTAGAAGGAAGCTTTATTTATTTTCATCATGAAATTGATAATAATAATAATGTTTTATGATATATCTTTACAGAAATAACCATGTGACATTTACAATCAGAAAATATCGCTCAACAATATCAGTATCTTTGTTAGGGCACATCCTCACGATACACTAAAATTAGAATCCTCGCGACCTCATTTCGTGATAGACATCGCAGTATTATATACGAAAGTTCCTCACAGTATATATGCGAGTCTTTTGGGTTGTCAAGAAAAGCAAGCTAATACTGCATTGTATAAATAAATAACATCGATGCCGCGTCTAGCTCTAGTTTCAACCAAAGGTTATTACAAGACATTAATAGATTCAGGACATCTGTTCAATTAATCGAAAGAGAAAACGCTTTTATTATACCACTGGCTTAAAATTTTGTCATCAATGGCCTCGGTTATTTGAAATTTATCGAGCATCCCAGACATTTGTCTGATTGGTCAATTCAAGTTTTAATATGATTGGTTGATAGATCGATATGATTGGCAAATAAAAATTTTATTATTATAAATCTGTGCCAAGTTTTCAGGTTCATCATCTGCTGATTGAACCACAGTTTTCTTGATTATATCAACCTGAGGATTATCTTCATTAATGAGTCCACGTATATCGTAACAATGAATGGGTAGATTGTCAACTAAATCATTTTCGGAACGTGCATGTTGCTTTGCAAACCGATCATTAAAAGATTGAGAAAGGAGAGCCATAAATCGATCTTCTATTTTAGTGATCAAAATGTTATTATCAACAATTCGTGGGTTATGTATGCTTGCATATACATTATCTTCAACATTTCTTGGAATCGCAGTTGCTGTAGGTATTGGGATCGCAAGGACTGTAGCCATGTGTGCAACTGTACTAGCTGACGTAGTTTTTGGAATTTGTAGACCATGAATGTTATGATACTGACGATTATGGCATTAATCCGATGCTTTACAAGATCTCTTGTCACATTATCTCTGTGAATAGAAGATATAATATTTTTCTCACGTCGGTCTCCCTCGACGTAGAACCCAACTGCATGTTAGATAAGATATCAATTGCTTGATCAGACGTACCTGAATGATTTAGAAACATCGCAATCCCCGCAAGAAAATAACATAAGAACGAGAGGCCTTTCTGCCGTTGCGAGATGGTCCACAAGACCTCTACCACTCGAATTAATTAACTTCTCAAGGAGGTTGAGGAATGGTTTAAGGCCAATATCCTTAGACTCCAACTCCAGCCGAAGTAACTTCCAATCATATACTGCTACCTTTTTTTCTTTCTTTTCTTTTGTATAAAAAATTTGCGCCATCGATCTAACACATTCAATAAAATCAATCTCTTTGATTCTTCCATCGTCACTTACCTCTGATGTCTCCATTATTAACCCTTGTTGACCATCATAACGATCAACTTGCTCTGTCACTGCTTCATATTCACCTTGTCTCCACCGTCGCTTTGAAGGAACTGCATTCTTAGATGTCACAGAACCTTTAGGAGTACCGCGTACAATGTAACTCATGTAATGACGTTTAATACCCATGTAGAAGCTAAAGTTCCACGCTGCATAGCTTTATGATAAGCGTCTTCAGTAAATCTTCGGAACCTTACTTCAACTCCTTCTGCTCCACAAATAACACACGGTCCAGGGTCTCCTACGTATATCACAGGTAAACGTCCATTGTGCATCATCCCAAGTATTCTGCTATGCGCTCTCTCGTCAACATAAAAGCCGCTCGTAAACTTATTAATTTCACTATAATGTACTAGTACGTGGTGATAGACAGCAACGGTAATAGTACATTCAATCAATCGTATTGATCCTGCAAATATTAGCACCGCATAGATCCTACGCTTGCATGTATTATTCAGGAGGCAAGGTTATTATTACAGATCCATCAGCATTAGTAGTAGAAGTAAATAAAGGTCATGATTCCATCGATCCTGTGAGAAACTGATACATCATTAGCATACCTTCACTGACATACCAGTGGACAAATGCACGCTTAGCATATATCAAATCAAACTCTCGAACATGCCCATGTTTCATTCAGCAATAGCAGCTGTGTTGGACATAATACACACGGCACACTGTACTTTAACCAGATCGCCGCTGGGTACCATAGTAGGAGGGATGGGTATAGAATTCCTGCACATAGTCAAGAACATAGCCTGGTCTATACTTAAGAGTATATCACGGGCTTCGATTGCTAGTTGGGAAGAAAGAAAGGGTAAACGAAAAGTATGATAAGAGCAGTGAAAGTAAGAGTAAAACTATGCTCTCTGATGATGTATATAAAATGCTTAAAGTCGTGCGATGAAACAAATGGACATACACTATGTTCCCTCTAAGCCTTGCAGCATGTAATAAAATCCCTTGCTTCAATCAATTCAAACCAATTCCAGTGCACTCTCAAGCTAACCCAGACCAATTCCCACCACCCTTATATTAGGAGTTAAATTCTTACCCATATAAGCGACATTAGCTCTCAACCGGTCTAACGAAAATATATCTTTTTGCCATTCCTTTCTCTTATGCCAATTCTCTACAATTAAAGGTATTCCGTTTATAACACAAGTCTCATGTGCTCCTCGTTTGTAAAAGTAGCCGCATTGATCTGTTCGAAATGATATTGTTCATGGCGTGGCAATTGTGTAGGGGATGCAAAATAGTGTGGACCAAGGAAAGAGAAGTTGGAGAGCAGATAGTGTTGAGTTGGTATCGTCTATGTCTCAAGAATTTGTTTACGGTTGATAGTTGACTTTGTACCAATCGACAAACTGGATAGTGCGTTTGGTCTTAGTCATAGTAATTGCATTAACATCCTTATGATTTACGTCATATTGATATAAGAGACAACAGGCCATATATTTTCCATGACATGGTTCATCTGGTTGTGCAAGAGTATGTAATCTCGGCAATGATAAGTTGCTCGTGAAGAGCTTTCGCAGCTGCCATGGAAAATGAATACGAGGATATGGGACAAGGTTGGTCTGATGCCGCGATTTCGCACCAATAGATAAAAATAATTTGCAAGAAACAATTTATAACAGTTACAATTCACGAACAATTCTAAATTCTATTCATAAGTCTGTGGCACTACTTTGTGGCTTGGTCTAGTCTAATCACACCCCAAAGTTATGATTCCGACCATTGATTTTAGAATCGTAGCTGAAGAAGATGATAATGGGGAACAGGCCTACCGTTGCTCCAAATGTAAGGCCGATATGAACACTAGATATTATTTATGTAAAAAGTGTTTTCGGGAAATTGCTGATAACGCATCGACAACGTGGACAAGTGAGAGACACCACATCGATGAGTTAATCCTCAATTCACAAAGAGATGCCGACCAAGTTCACCAGTTTATCGAATGGATTCCATACGATAGTTTTACGAATATCGAATTTGTAGCCATGGGGGGTTTTGCCAAGGTCTGTAAAGCTTCTTGGAAACAGGGATGCTGGGAATGTTTAACAGAGGACGATACTTCCACAAGATATTTCAAACGTAGAGGATCTATGGAAGTTGCCCTAAAAGAGCAGAAGAATTCCGTAACACTTTCGGTGGAATATTTAAAGGAGGCAAGTATGAAACTCTTATTTTTAAACAAAAATCGTCAACCTTACGTTTTATTGATATCAATCACTTCGAAACAGGTCGCAGCTTATCTAAAGTGTGAATACAGGATTTTTTGTGACAATCGATTATATGGACTTTCAGTGAACCCCGAGACTAGGCAGATAATATTGGTTATGCGGTACATGTCTGGCGGTGACTTGAGACAACTTTTGATGAGGAATCCTGCAGAGTTCACATGGAGTGAAAGAATAGAGCAGCTATGTGCGTTGATGAAGGATTTACAAACTATTCATAAAGCAGGCTTTATCCATAAAGATTTTCACAGCGGGAATGTGTTGTGGACTCATGATAACTATCAGAACTATGAATTATGCATTTCCGATTTAGGTTTGTCCGGACCCGCCAATGATAAAGACGATAAAGTTACTGGAGTTGTTCTGTATATGGCACCAGAAATACTCCAAGGTCGACCAAAGTCAACAGCGTCTGATATATATGCTTTCGGTGTAGTTATGTGGGAATTTTCTTCGGGACAACCAGCCTTTGTCGATTACAAAGACGATAATATACTAGTCTTTAAGGAGAAAATTATTAAAGATAAGTTGAGACCTTTACCCGTAGATGGCACCCCGGATTGCTATGTGAATTTGATGGAACGTTGCTGGGTGGCTGAACCCGAAGATAGACCAACAGCTGAAGAAGTATTGTATACATTATTAGCATTCAGAGAGATGAATGACAAGACTTTGCCTACTTTTAACGATACGGTCTTTGATCAATTCGAATCGGCAGAGGAATGGAGATTACTAAAAGGATCTTCGGATTCAAACGAAAGATTTCACCATGAAAGATATACTAGTACAATTATCAACACCGACGACTTTATCAAGACAGCGGAAGATGTCGGCCAGTAGAAAGGGAGAAGACTATCATTACTAATTCAAGATTAACAAAATTTGGTATACAGTCAACTGCCTATAATTCGATCCGAGGTTAACGATCGAATTAACGTACAAGTCGAATTAATTACAATAGAAATATCAAAAAATGTTCTGTAACCAGCGGTCGAATTATCAGAGTTGACTGTAATATTATTATGCGTTATATTGACTCTTAAACATCGGGATTTTTTTAGGGACGACATTGTTGTGCAAGATGATAAGTGTCCTGATAAGGGATTACAGGAGTAACCCTAAATGCAATTGCACGCTATCTCATAGTATTTCCATCTCCCTAAAATACGCGTCATGTGATTAGACCTTTATATGATAAAAATTTTATCTGACATTATAATTACTGCAGAACTTGTGATAAAGGGAGAATCGAGTTGATGTTATAAGAATGTCACAATTTTGGTGTTGATTGTACCATGTACAGTGCCCTGCCAAAATTTTACGACCACCCCTGTCGATCAATTAGTAAAACATATGAAAAATCTATTTTTTTTTCGAAAATCTCTACTGGTCATATCTATTAAACAAATAACAAAATTTTTGCACTGTTATGAAGCTAATTGATTGTAGTCTTTGAATAAATACCCATAAACTTAAGCAAGATATTGTATTGTATCCGTGATGAGCCGAGATGATGGTATATATATTACGCATATGTAATCATATGTTTAATCATATATTATCACTTCATCGAACCACAGCTTTAATATGACAACTAGCCTAGTTTAATCATTATTTTTCCTGAAG